GAAGTTGCCGCAGAAGCAGCATTCAACCAAGAAATTAGAGTGAGACGACAAGGCTAGGAGCTGATTGGAGGGAGATTTTGCCCAAAGAACTACACCTTCCATGCCAGGAGGGAGAAGTTTCATACCTCTTGCCCTGCTTTTTTCTTACAGCAGTTGTGAGGCTGTGATTCACTGTACATTTTGTTCCACAGTTCCAAGCAGGCCCCAAAATTGAAAGTCCCAAGTACTCTAGATTTGGCCTTGCAACCTTGGTCTCGATTTTTGCCTTTGACCTGCTCTGGTTTCCACTGTTAGGGGCCAGGAGGTGATGGTGGATGGTCAGGAGTAGTGAGGAGGAAGGGTGTTTAGGTTCCTCCTCCCCATTACAACTATTGGGGGGGGGCAGGGGCTACAGGAGCAGAATATCTGACTTCCATTAAGGGGGGCTAAGCTGGCCAGCACTAATCGAGAAGGGATCTTGGAAGCATGGTGGATCAAGAATAAAGTCTCCCCCAAGAAGCTCAAGTCTTGATGGACTACGTCCAGGTAGTTATCTTGGCAACAATATTTGACCTCCTTTGGCTTTCTTTTCTTTTCCTTCCTAGCTGTGGGATTTCTGTGGTCTCCCTTCCAAGCAGGTCCAACTCTGCTTCACTTTTGGAGAGCAGCCAAAGTTGATTCTTGGCGGAAAGTGTAATGAACAGGTCAGCCCAGAATGCAGTTGCTGTGAAAGATAAGAGGCCTGGCCTTGCGCTGTGCAGTTCTCATCACCACACTGAAAAACAGCAGGGCAGAGCTGGGAAAGACGCAGAGGAGGGCAACCAAAACGATTGGAGATTTAGAATAACTTTTCTCTCTGTCTTTTGCAGTTTTCCAACCTGGGCATCTGCCATGGTTCAGACCCCAGAGTTCTCAGCAACGGCTGTGCTGGCTGGGGAATTCTGGGAGTCGAAGTTTACATACTGTGAGAAAGAACTTTTAAGTTCCAAAGAGTTGAGACAAAGATCCAACGAAGCAGCAAGGCATTTATTGAAAGAGTACATTGTTGCAACAGCAAGTAGACACACCCCGTGATAAGATACATGCACTTTTTATTCTCTAAGCCCGAGCAGAAAGACCCTCCTCCGTTTCCCCGTTGGTTGGGTACTCAGGAGTTTACAACCTACCCGATACGCCTAATACAACTCCCGGAAGTCTCGCCTCAGTTTACATCTCCCACTACTCAAATTTTAAGCCTCCCCCAGCCCGTATTTATAGCCGTTTTTAGCAATAGCAGTGAGTGTGTTCAGTGAGGCGGTTTTAGGCCTAGTGCAACTATTACCACAAAACCGGCTCAGGTCGGTTCTTCAGCTCTCTATTCCGAGGCTCCTTTAACCGCCTGCACTAGTTTCCTACCACATCGCCACATCCTTTATATGTTAGCTCTTTTACTTATTTTAAGCAAGTTAGTAGAAAGCCATACTACTTTATGCTAAGAACCCCCTAAACAATTGAGGACTAGTAACTTGATTGTATCACTACATACATTCTGCTTAGAAAGGCAGGGGGTCTGGAAGATCCCCTTTTCACTACTAGTTGCTCATTATGGTTTATTTTAAAACATATACTGTCAAATTAGTTTGCCTGCAAAAACGACATTTTGTCATCTCTCACACATACCAAGAAGTTGCCAAGACTGGAAAACACGTAAAGTTTTAATTCTGCATAGAATTGTTGAAGTAGCAGATTGTAATGCTTGAATTGAAAAAAAAAACTTAGGGCTTCTTACAGGCTTGGAACCAATATGGTGTCACGATTACAGTGGCATTTTCCAATTTGTGTGATTTTGACATACGGACTTCGGCTCCCAGAAATTTCAGCAATAACTGGTGGCTGGGGAATTCTGGGAGTTGAAATTCACACCCCTGGCCATTGCTCATGTTGGAATAATCTGACTTAAACAAAGCAAACAAGATGAAAGACAACATTTTTTAAAAAATGCATGGTATTGGAAGTGTGAGGTTTTCTGTAGGAATTCAGGGTTACCCATTCATTCTAAATGTGGAGAAATTCAGGACCAATAAAAATCATCCTTTACGCCAAAAAGAATGAAAGTGCGGAATTCACTGCCATCTGCTAAGAAGACACCCGCCAGTTAGCTGGTTTTAAAAGAGGGCTGGACAGATTCAAGACAGGATTGGGCAATTAACGGTTTCAAGTGTTGATGAGTATCTCCTGTAAACAGCATGTCTGTAAAATAGAAATACCGGCTGCCGGAAGACAGAATGCAAGAGATCTTCTGCCCTGCTTCCTGTTTCTGAGCCTGAATGCATCCAATTGTTCACTGGGAGACTGACCAGATAGACTTTTTGCCCGATCCAGCTGGACTTTTTTAGGTTCTTCTCCTGGGGGAGTAAATAGACTGTTTTTCTCTCCCCAAACTGTTTATAGGGGCTGGCGGGGCAGTTCTTCCCTAGAAGGAGGAAGGCTGGATCTTATCTAGCTCAACTGGCACCATTCTGAGGTATCTGCATCCAGGGAATTTGATAAGTCCATAGCTAGTTAAAAAATCCAAAGCCAAGAACCAGAGTTGCTACCAGCTTTTGTCATCAGTTAGCTGTCTCCATGAGTGCCCACCAGGAGACACAAGTGACATCGTGTCATGACGTCATCACGCACAAGGCGCAAATGATGTAATTTACATGATGCAAATCATTTAAAAGCCCTCTTTTTACCTTTAACAGACCTGGTCCTTTCCCAGAAGTTTTGTGGCCACTCTTCTGATTCAAACATCCAGAGACCAAGGAGCTGGAGCTGCTCCTGGTGCATACTTGTCCATGCACAGACACAGATTGCTCAGTTATTTATTTATTCCTTTAGAATTGTTTGCCGCCCAGAATTACTTGGTAGAGATGGGCAGCTTAAATAAATAAATAAGCAAACAAGCAAGCTGCGCATGGAGCAAGCGTAATTTGCGGAAAGGGCCTTGGCATAACGGCAGCCCGGATTTCTCTGCTGTTCATTAAAGCAGACTGTCTTGTTCTTCTGTGAGAGTCTGGAAAAAACCCGGCTGCTTTGAAGAGGTGTATTCACTTTAATGAGTGGATTCCTTAAGGCAGGTGCAATCCACTCATTATTGGGTTTTTTAGGCCAACATTGATGCCTGAAAAACAACTACTGAACTGATTTAAAAAACATCTCAGAGACTACTAGGAAAGGGACAGGTTATAAATAACCAAAAGACAAAGACAAATATGTACATATAAAATTTTATAAAACTATGGCACAATATCAAGATTACACCAGGAGCGTCCACAAAATGCGATCAAAGAGTCAAGATGGCAACCACAACAAGGGGACTGAAGCTCCACCTATTTTTTTACGTGAAACAAAGAGCATCTCCGAAAACCTGCCAGCTTCCCCATCCAGACAGCTCACAACTGACTTAAATTGTGTCCACTCTATTTCCTTCCTTTGTAAATGTTGATGGTTGGCTCTCCTTTCTGGCTTCTTAAGTTTTCATTTGTTTGAGTGATTTTACCAGTTAATTATACCACCCACTTTCATGTCTCATAGTCGCCAGAATTTTGCATACGAATGCCCTCATTTTCTGGGTACATTTCCACTCTTAAAGGCAACAGTAAAAAAAGAAAATCTCTCTCACAGGATGCCATGTTAAAAAAAAAAATACAGGGCAATTCTGTCCCTTGCTTCCTTCAGAACTGATCCCACCGAATTCAGTGGGACTAATTTCTTTTCAGGAGTAAATGCCATTGATGTTAGTGGCCGCAGGGACCAGTTTTATACAACAACCCTGCTAGGTAGATCTGGCAGAGACAGTGAAGGGGAAGAGATGATGCTAAGACACTTGAATCAATGCCATCACCCACGGCCCAGCTCAAGCAAACTTTTACATTCTCTCCCTACAGATTCGCATACATAGAGGCTGTACAGGGCAATCTCCAATTTCATTAGCAATGGCAGAGAAATGGCATCTGAGGAAATGTTACCCTGTCATTAAGTCATCACAGCTTTTAATGGAATTTCATGAGTATGAATAATGTTTTTATGGCCAGACAGCTCTTCCCTTGTATTAACAGCTAGCAGGTTGTTCCTCCTTTCCTTTCCCCTTCCCTTTCTCCTTCATTTAAAGCAGTGTTGTCCAAACTTGGCCACTTTAAGATGAGTGGACTTCAACTCCCA